GAACAGCCTTCCTTTAGTTTATATACAAGGATTAGACAAGGCATACACAAGGGCATGACATAAGGTCCTCTGTGTCCCCTCTTGACACAAGATTACACATGACATAAGGGCATCTTTGTCCCCTCTTGACACAAGATTACACAAGACATACAGAAGGAGCACCTGACTACATGACATAAGGGCCTCTTTGTCCCCTCTTGACTACATTCTTTTCCTTTCTTTGGCCACTTCTTCCCTTCCCTTCCCTTTACTTTTCTTTCCTTTACCTTCTCTAGCTAATTCTTTCCTTTCATTTTCTTTTCCTATTGCAATTTCCATTTCTTCTATAACGGCCCTAGTATCAACAACTACCCGACTGTCGCAATATACACCGGTTATTTCCATTCCAGCATTCTGAACGCGATCCTTGTGCAAGTGGGGCAACTTGTATTGATTTCCTCCTTTGGCTTTCATAACTTCAAACATAACTGCTTCTAATGTGATAAAGCTTCTGTGCAACTTGTCGGGATCGTAGTTCTCGAATTCCTCTTCCACACCCTGTACCAGTTCCTGGATGTTTGTAGGTGACCTGCAGTCGGTTAGAGACTGGAGAGAGGTATGGAAGCAGAGGTCCAAACAATTTAACTCAGGGCTATTTGGGGGCTGTTGTAGCAATCGGCTGTCAAGATCAGTTTGTTCCACAGCTTCTCGAAAAGCTACATCATTGGGAAGGACATGAGGCTTTGCGTTATCCTGTTGGATGAATATTGTCGCTCCCTCATCATCGTCAGGCCACTTATCCTGAATTGCCGGGATAACCTTATTGATTAGATAATCTCTGCACACAGGCCTAGTTACTTTCACTGATGTCAACACTTTTGTTCCCTTTGTTCTGTTTTGACTTGTCCGCTTCGCCTCAGTCTCTTCGACAAATGCCCAAATGCCGATCTTCCCATCGAATGTTAGCTCCCCCTCATTGTTATATCGAGGCTTGGCAATGGCTGTTAGGAACATCACCTTCCCAATGCTGTGAGTGTTTGACACGGTGCGCTTCGGTTCAGGTTCTCCTGGAAGTACATAGTAACTATTCTTCACTCTCGTCATGTCAAACCACTTCTCATCGATGTGAACCATATTCGTCATTGGTTTTAACATAGCACGAGAAGTTGATATCGAATTGTCATCGACCATGGACATACAAAATTTCAATCTCGCAAGCTTGTTCTCTAGCTTGAGGTGAGGCTTCACGGTGCTTGTGATGCAGTTGAGCTCATTCAACTGGAACCTCTTATGTAGGGTCGATCGGGCCACACCTAGATACCATGCCAGAGATCGAATTGTTCTTCTTTTATTCAGTGGGATTGTTGAGGTCCTCTCTAGATTTAGCTCCTTTCTCTTTCGGCCAGATCTTCCCGGCTTCTTGCTTGAGACATCTACTTCTTTGCCATCGGCAATTTGCCTTTTGGCGTCTTCCCAGATTCTTTCAACAGATCGTACACTTATGTCCAACAGGTTTGAGACTAGCAGCTTGTCGTCTGGTTGAACAGACCCATCTCTGAGCTCGATTACCAGCAAGGCGAAGTAAACACCATGCCTCTCCTTATCTGACAATTCTCTTCTCTTCTCTTGAAGTATCCAATTCATAACTTCATCCTCTTCCTCTTGAGCTTCATCCTCTTTCCCTTCATCTTCTTGAGGCATCCAATTCATATCTTCATCGTCTTCCTCTTGAGGCATCAAGTTCAAATCCATAACTACATTCTCTGCCACTTGAGGTTCCTCCTCTTGAGGCATCAAATTCAAATTAATACCTTCATCGTCTTCGTTTTGAGGCATCATGTTCAAATCAATAGTTTCATGTTCTTCCTTTTGAGGCATCAAGTTCAAATCCATAGTTATGTTTCCTGCCATCAATGACAAAAGATGAGTACACCATGGTACCATAACAAGAATACACACACACAAAATGAGTATGCAAGTCAAACAAGAAATAGGTGCCATGGCACCATTTCTAGTTTGGTTGCCACGATAGCCAAACAAGAAATGCTGCCATGGCAGCCAAACACTTTGCTCTAACCATAACCATAAGCCATTTTTTGTAGCCAAACACTTTGCTCCAAACACAATACAATTGGATGTAGTGTAGTGGTAATCACCAATGTTCATCCATATTTTGCATTTAAAAACTCAGATTTGAGTCTGGATCAACTCAGTTGTACTCTGTCAATATCCAACTCAGATTTTACTGTATGTATCTTAACTGAATGAATTTTGACCATGTCTTGATCCTTTCTTGCTTGCTTGCTTCTTTTGGTGTGGATTTTACTCAAGGTTGGCTAGATTTTCCCACAAGGTGAGCTAGATTCCTGTGAATGTATTTACACAGATAGGCTCATAACTGAATTTTTTGTGCAGTAGTTTAACTGAATTCTAGGGAGTATCATGTTTGCTGAAACATTTGCAAACACAACTCATGGCAGCAAAACATCCATGCTGAGTATTACAATTCTGTGTGGGTGCAAAAGTCTAACAACACTAGAACTAAACTGATTGATCTATACATGTGTAGGAGGAGCTAGATCCTTTTCTCCATGGGGAATTTTGTGTAGGTACTTAGACAAGTTAATTAGGGACCTCAGCTGAGAAGATCTACTCTAGTGAGTAAAACAGGACAGAAGGATTACTTGCTTTGCAGTGAGTAAAATAGGGCACTTTTTGACAATGAGTAAAACAGGGCACTTGCCTACACATGTCCTGCAGAGAGATTAAACAAAAAGTGCAAACATGTTCCAGCAGTACTCCAAATTTGATTTCTAGAGTACTCCAAACTAGAGTAATTCCAGCAGTACTCCAAATTTGCATATGATTAGTGACTGCATATGCTCATTGACATAACAGTTTCACAGTTAGCAAAGTATAGTGATTGCGTATGTTCAAAATTGATCTAGACAAACATTCAATTTCACCAGATGACTATCAGTTTCACCATGAAAATTGACAGTAAATTTTACTGAAACCTGACATTTAAACTGAATTTTACCTTCTTCCTTCCTTAGGAACACGAGCTCTGGCGACAACACAAGGAGCAGGCCAGAGAAGCACAAGGCAGCTGCTACTAGAGCTCTGCTGCTGCTGGTCAACACGAATATCGAGCTGCGAATCAATTTCACTCTGTATCAACAGAGGAGCACTGACAAGCGAGCTGCAGATCAATTTCAATATGTATCAGCTGCAGGATTAGAGCGGAGTAGCAGAGGTAGAGCCGGAGGCCTCGGGGGTCGGGGGCGGGGATCGGAGGGCGTCAGCAGCAGAGGCGTCGCCCGCCACCACCACCTCAACCAGCCGGCGAGCCAAAGTGGACCAGCACGGCGACCAGCGCGGCGGCAGTGAGTGCGGAGTCGTGGGCGGAGTGGACCAGCGCGGCGGCGGTCGGTGGTGGAGGACCCGCTCGTCGGTGGGCGCCGGAGGACCCGCTCGTTGGTGGCCGGCGGAGGACCCGCTCGTTGGTGGCCGGCGGAGATCCTCCTCCTGGGCGGGCGGCAGAGTCCTCGTGGGCGGGCGGCGGAGATCCTCCTCGTGGGCAGCGGAGGTCTTGTTCGTGGGTGGGCTCGTCGGTGTCTCAGGAACTGCGGCGGCTGGCCCTGGCGATTGGAGACGGCTGGCCCTGGCGATTGAAGACGGCTGGCCGTGGCGACGCGGGCGACGGGAGGAGGGAGATGGGGGCTTAATTTCTAGAGTTTTGAAAGTGGAAGGACTAAAATGCAAAAAATCAAATGTACTATCCCCGCGACATTATTTTCAGGACGGAGGGAGTAGTAGTATTATTTCTTGATGTCCATTTAGGGAAGTTGAAAATCTATTGTTTTTAGTGTTGTGTTCATGAACCCGAAATGTCATGCTAATAGTTTTCGAATGTTAGCGCTCTTCCTATGTGGCCAATTTCATGGTGAGCATTTTTAAAGTGGGCAAAGTCTATGCTGCGAGTTTTTGAATCCTGTTTGTCTTTGTTTTTGTGCTCTTGCTAGCTGTGTACTATAGATCGTAAATACAAATTCTGTTTTGGTCAAAGATTCATATGGAACAAACTTGCACACTGTCTTAAATCCTTAAACACGTGGACCATGGCTCCGCCTGGATGGTTAAGAGGTGCCAAAGCCTTCCCACCCGCCCGAGTTCGAGCGCCAGTGCTCGCATTCTCAGTTGTGTACACGCATTTCTTCTTAATGGAATGTTGTGGGATTGTCTAACCCACGATCAAGACGCCGCACCGAAAACCAATAGAAACCAACGCTTCTGCTCCTCGCAACGTCCACACTCATGCTTGTAGTGAGGCTCCTCGCACAGTCACACTCGCGATGCTGCTCGCCATGCGCCACCTCACATTTACCGCTCTTTTGTTGTCGGTTTTTGCTCGTACCGGCAATGTTCGTAACAATTTGTTTGACACCCAATCAACCATCGAGAGATCCGGTGCTTGAATTAGAATTGATTATAATAATATATTTTTATCAACACTAGATAATCACCGTGTGTTGCAACGGGACATAAATATTCTACTATGTTAATTTATGATTACCTGCTTGCATTAATATGTATTTATCCAAAACTTGGTTTGATTTGATAAACACACCTTTGGCTTTCAAAGAAAAATATAATTTTAGTTCAATAAAAGGTGGGGCAGTTGAGCCGGTTAAATGAAAAACAGAGACCGGAGGAATTGTTAGACTTTTTTTTACCAAGTGTTGCACATGCTCGTAGTAACCCGCTGTTTTTTTCTTCTGCACGTGGGACAATTAAAGGATGGGGGCCTGGCCCTGCCACTGTCCGCCGCTCGTTGCTCCACCACCGCGCACCTCCGTCCATCCCGCCGGCCCTCTAGGAGACAGAAGTGCCATTTCAGAACCAGTGTTCCCCCTGCTGAAGCCCATCTCTCTCTCCCATCTCTCGCTCTAGCACCCTTGCTACAAAACCACAAGAGGCCAACCACCTGCGCCGCTAGCTGCAGCCAGAGGCATGCGGTGATGGAGTTCACGGGGCCGGAGCACGCCGCCGGGACGCCCCCCGGGACGCGCTCGCCCTCCGACGCCTCCTCGGGGAACAGCGGCGAGGCGAGGTACCGCGAGTGCCTGCGCAACCACGCCGCGGCGCAGGGCGGGCACGCCGTGGACGGCTGCGGGGAGTTCATGCCCTCCAGCGCCCACGACCTGCTCAGGTGCGCCGCCTGCGGGTGCCATCGCAGCTTCCACCGCAGGGACGACGGGCAGCAGCAGCAGCACCCCCGCCTCTTCCTCCCTGCGCCCGGCGCCACGTCGACGACGCCGACGCCGCGCGTGCCGCTGCTCATGCCACCGCCGCAGCAGCATCACCACCCCTACGCGGCCGGTCACCCACAGGCGCCGCCGTTCGCGTACAACCCCCACCACCAGCACTACCAACGCACACCCAGCGGCGGTGGCACGACGACCGAGTCGTCCAGCGAGGAGCCCGACCCGGGACCGCCCTCGACGTCGGCTCCAGGGCAGGGGCACGGGCAGGCGCAGCGGCGGAAGCGGTTCCGGACGAGGTTCACGGCGGAGCAGAGGGAGCAGATGCTGGCGCTGGCAGAGCGGGTGGGGTGGCGGATGCTGAAACAAGACGAGGCCCTGGTGGAGCAGCTGTGCGCGCAGGCCGGCGTGCGGCGGCAGGTCTTCAAGGTCTGGATGCACAACAACAAGCACCACAGGAGGCAGCCAGAGTCCCAACAGCAGCAACAAAAACAGTAGGGTGCCCGTAGCCATGGGAGGGGACAGGCTCACGAATCCCCACATCATTATTTTTGTACTTCCGACAGGGGAAGAGGGATGAATTAAACAGGGAGAGTGAAGTGAAGTGAAACCAGGGGCTCTCTCTGATCTTCATCATGTCTCCTAATCTTACTTCCTGTTCTTGATCATGGTTCATGATCCTTTGCTTGGTTTAACTGGATTCCTTTTGTTTCTAGTTGATGCATCAGTTAATTGGGATGACGATTGCTCGATGATGATAATGAGGGTACTCAGAGTCTATACTTACGTTTTATCTGAATTTCTATTCGAAATCTCTCACAAGAAGATCAGTTGCCCACGGCAATTTCCTTCATGCCATATTGCTCAAGACTAGATCTTTCATCTTCACTTGATCGATCGGTGTTTGGTGGTGCTGCTATTTCTCGCTGTTCTTTCAAATACAGAATCATCGATCATGTTGTTGGAGCTTAAAAACCAGCACCGAATTATTTATCAGACATTCAACGAGACAGTGATAAGACAAATCATGGAGCTTTCTTGCTGACAACAAGAGAACAACTGGTACGGGCATGAATCGATTTAACACCGGCCAGAATGTACTTACTGGGAACATATGCTTGAATGTGACTTGATTATCAGCACCAACTAAACCTGGCTGCATCAAGAACACATGCAGGAGTACCGTTCATCCGTGTGTGTTTATCTATCCTCCATTCGGTTGCTGTGCATTGTTGTACGTAAGATTTTGCCAAAGAAGAGAAAAAAAATACAGATTACTACCGGGAAAAAATACAAGTTGCCCTTATCCAAACCAGATCCCTTAATTGGGCATGCATGCCGGTCAGTCACTCACATTGCCTATGTTTGCCGAAGAAGATGATGCAAGGATTTCGCTTCATGGAACACAACTGCGAGGCCGGCCCATGCTGCCTGCAACTAACTGCAAGGGATGGGGATGATACAGCGGATAAGGACGCAGTAATGAGTACCCATCCAAGGGAGGATGATGAACCTGTTAGTGTCACTCAGATTTTGTGTTCTTGTTAGCCGTCACACTTCCGGGCTTCTGGCTGGACTACATGAACCTCCAACTAGATTTTTTGTGTGTGTTCTAGCTATTCATTTGGATGGTTGAGCAGAGCAATAACGTCACGGACCTATTCCTCCCCCTACCATGGGCCCTTGAGGCTCCGCTGCCGAGCCTGTGGACTTCCTCCCCTCTATCTACTGCTCTGACGCCATCGATGGCCGATGGGGAGGAGAGCTCCGATGCCTCTGTTAGTGGTTTAGGTTAGGTTTTATTTAGTCTGTCGCAGGGTCGGCGCTTCATCTTTCTACTGGTCTTACTGGCTCTGATCCTCCTCGAGTTTGTCTGTCGGGGCGGAGTCGACACAACTTCGACGTAGATTCCCGTCGTCGCCTTGGGTTGATGAGGTTAGAGTCTCTCACCACGACTACAACTCTATGGTGCTGGTCTTTCGGGCACATGCGCGAAGACTTTCGTGATGTCATCGGCAAGGTTGGCCTGGCTCAGATAAGGGAGCAGAGACAGTGGCACGTCGATGTCTCGTTCTGACAACGCTAGTGGTTGTTTGGTGGTCCAGTGATCTTGATGTAATTTTTGCTTTATATTTCACTATTTCTAGTAAATTTACACAATAGACGCGGGTCATGCTCGCAAAAAAGAGAGGCTATTTTCGTATGACATCGAACTTGTCATACTTGTAGATAATGGAACGGGGATACACAGGGAAATACTCAGCCTCAATTGGCCGATTTATGGAAAGAAATCAACCACCTCCATCACGCGACACGTTGCCCTAGGCCCACACAACCTTTCTCCTCCTCTGCCTTATCCCTCTCCTCCTCCACACGACTTTTCCTCAACCTCTCGTTCTTATTTTCTTCACCACTGAGCAACAACCATGGCTGATGCCTCCGTCGCCATTGAGCCGCACACTCATGCACTGATACAAATGAGAAGAACTGTGCACGCCGCCACCCATCACCTCAATAGTCGCCGTGTTGCAAAGCAACCGCGGAAACCATCCAATGGCAAGGTTACCTTGTCGCCGCACGTTGTTGCTGCAACAACCACCATGTTGCAAGGCAACCGTGGAGATCACCACATTACAATACCCTTTGTCGCCGCCGCCATGCATAGCCGCTGTGTTTCAAGAACCGCACTGTCGAAAACACCGTGTTGCAATATCCTTGCCGAGATCGTCCGTGTATTGCAACACGGTGTGACCTCAACTTGATCCATGTTGTTATGGGTGATCGCAACATGGTCCATGTTGCAATGGCTGACCAAATGCCCGTACTTACAATTGTCACTCAAGTTGAAGGTGACTGCAATATGATCCATGTTGCAATGAATGCTGGCAAGATCATCCGTGTTGCGATTATTTGACAACCTATAATAGTGTAGCGTCGTCCTACACCTCGCGCCTACTTTGTACTGTAGTTTGTAGTACCGTGGTACCTGGCGACTAGTACTATTTTTCCGTCGAAGGAGATTATAAGGAAAAAAGCACCAATACAACACTGCACCATTGCTGACCTTTAATTTGCGTACATCTATTCAAGAATCATCCTGTACAACTGCCAGAGCTCAGTATGTAGCAGCCGCCAACCAGCAACGAGTTACCATTAACTACCTTGTGCCCTAGATGTACAACAACAGATATGTTAGGGCATCTTCAACACATACTACCCCTAAAACGGACACCCCATATGTCCACATACCGGTCCAGATCGGTGTCCGTACATTGATACGAGAGCTGGCCATTCAATTCAAAACTACTCGCCAAATACATGAGCTATCATTCTAGACTTCCGCCAAATCCTGCGCGGACAGAGAGGAGATGGAAGGTGCTGACTTTTGATTCGTCACGTGAATGTCCGGACTCTTGCAAAACCCTCTATTCTGGTTTCGGTTTGTGAAAAAACAGACGTTCGGACACGTCAACATACCGATAGGATACTGTATTGAATGTCAAATTGTGTCCGGACAGATAGGTCCGAATGGATGCAGTTGATTTGAGGGTCTGCTTTGGATTTGAGGGTACAAGGAAACACCTACCTCATCATATTATTTATTCTACATAATAATTAAACATAGTAACATAAAAGGAGAAAAAGATTTCCCATGAAAAGCTAAAAAGATTAAAATAGGTACCGGTAGCGAAGAAAAAACAATTTAATGTGACGAGATCTTCTGCTTAATCCTCTTCAGGAACACGATTCTGTGGCACGTGGTAGAACTAAACCTCTTTTAGCTTCAAAAAAAATTAAAACTCTTTTATCCACACGTGCTGTTTATATGTACGCGTACTTTGATCTCGACAGGTTTGGCCACGTTTTATAGCCTGGATGCCCATGCCCATTGCTCCTTCCTGTCAAAGCCACACCCTCGCTGCATGAAAGACATGGTCACTCGAAAAAAAGCATGCCACCGTATATGCATACAGCTTGATAATTGAGTGTCAGGCTATGACATGATGTTAACTTTGACTGCAACGTGCATCTCAACATACAAATTATTGCACAAGATAATGGGTCGATAATGGTTATTGTGTCTTAGCTACTACTCTATATTTCTATGCCAAAAAATGTATAAAGAAAGAGTTTATGTTAATGCTCCCTAAGTTTAGAGGCTAGTCAGTTTTTTCTCTTTGTTACGAAAGGTCATTTCAGCCAAGATGATTTTTTTTTTTCATTTTTTTGGAAGGAGGTTGAAACCCCCGGCTCTGCATCATTATGATGCACACATACATTTTTATAATTACTCTCTCCTTAAAGAGATGAGCGTTTAGATCACTACTTTAGTGATCTAAACAATCTTATATTTTTTTACGAAAGGAGTATTAAACAGAGTGCAGAACAAATACAACTAGGACTGAAATATTACAAGATGTGAAAAACAACACCAACAATTAAATTAACTTCTTTCGCAACAATGCCTTTAAGAAAGGATGTTATAGCGAACCAAACTGTGGTTGGATAGTTAGAAAGACAATGGTATTCTCAGTCCACCAGGGTTCAAGTCCTGGTGCTCGTGTTATTTTTGAATTTATGTCAGGATTTCCGACGATGCATGTTTAGTGAGAGTAGACGTGGGAGTAGACGTTTCCGTTGACTATGAGACATTTATATATATTGCGTCTGTACTGTGCTTCTTTTGAACGACTTTCACGAAGGATAGGATAATTAATTAGTGTGCAGTGCAGAGCACCTGGAGCAACAGTTGCTGAGATTTAGTTAGCCCCATCACGGTGTCACTCAATGATCAATCTTATCAGCAGCTCATCTGGTGGTTCAGTTGATCTAGTCACTATATGCTTTTCGTATAAAATATTTATGAGTGCTAATTCCAGATCGAACCATTCAAAGATCAGGAGTGGTAGCTATGTGTCTGCTAATATAGGACACTTATTTTTGAACGTTAGCGGCTTTATCTAATTGTACAAACCATATCCGTTATACTCGTATAATAAGCCTCTTGTATTAACATGTTAGGAGTCGTGTTTCAATAGAACACTTGCATCTTACGCCTACTATATAATGTGATGGTAGATACTCCCTCTGTCCTAAATTAAGTGACTCGACTTTGCACTAACTTTAATATAATGTTAGTACAAAGTTGAGTCACTTATTTTAGGACGAAGGGAGTACATGATTAACCCATGCCAATATAATAGCACATGCATGCATGCGATGCTGACAACTTGTGTCGGCGCCATGGTGGCTGGTGTGCGGTATTGTGACAGTGTCACGAGAAGAAGCGCCCGTAGTCATGCCCCTGTATGTAGCCATGTTCAGTGAACCTCGTTAGCAAATCTTGGTGTCATGTCTCGTGTAATTACTTGTTCCTTGGTGGATTGACTATTCATGTCAGATTATTCTAAAACTAGCTATAGCTGCAATGCATCACTTTATCACAAGACCCATTAAACCCTAACCGCCAACCCCGTGGCTCCAAGTCCCCATGCAGGCTAACCAAATGCAGTCTTGCTCCAACTATTAATTGGCTCCAAGTATTTATATCAGCTCCAATCGTTGCGATCATAGACTAATCTTAG